TTCTTTCTTTCTTTCTTTCTTTCTTTCTTTCTTTCTTTCTTTCTTCTTTCTTTCTTTTACTGGGAATTGAACACACGACCTTGTACTTGCCAGGCATGGGTTTTACTGCTGCGCTATCCCTGGGCTCGTGCAATTTTCAATGTCATATTTTACTTATATGTTATAGTATATTTGATCATATAAGTGTTATATTCTATTTGATAATATGCAAGTTATATGTGGTCATAATTCATCACAGTCTCTCTACTAGGTAAATCTATGTAGAACACTTCCAGTGGTGTCCTAGAATAAAATATTCTGGTTTTTTTTTTTTAATTTTATTTATTTATGTGTGTGTGTATGTGTGTGTGGCCAGCTCAGCCCACCAGGGGGTGGGGCTGGCTGGCTTGTGGTGCTGGGGGATGGAACCGCGGTCCCTGTGATTTGCTAAGCTTGTTCTAAGTAGGTGCTTTAGACCACTGAGCCATCTCACCAGCCCAAATATTCTGAGTCATTAGAAATTGCATATGTGCTAGAGAAAATGTATACCAGCAGGAGACAGGGTCAAAGTCCGGAATCACCTCCAGGCCTGCTTCCAGCAACTGACTCTTGTGTCCTCCCAGGCTGCGTAGCTAGCTGGGTCTCCTGTCTCCGAGGGCAAGTCGGGGGATCACCCTCTGGTACAGGGCCCTGGCTCACATCTGTGCAGAGACAGCTGGTGACATATCGCAACGGCAGGTCCTCTGCAGGACTTCTTTCTGCTCTCCAGATGTCGAGGCCCGTGAAACAGTGGAGTTTTGTGGCTGATTCTGACTTTCTGAGACATGGGACAGGTGGAGGTGCCCCACTGGCTGCCCGTGGGGGTACCCTTCCACCACAGTGACAGATGCCCATTTCTGCTGTGCAGGGCGGTGTGGCCGCGGGAGGAGCCTCCTTTCCAAGGAGAGCGCTACAGGCCCCACTCCTTCCGGGGCGCTTATTAGCAATCACGAGACACGGGCCACCTCTGCTCTGGTGGCTCTTGGGATCTCAGCTGCGCCCTCTACCGACAGAACTAGGTAGGATGCGCTGAACAAGGTGGCCAGACTTCTCAAGCGCAGGTCTTTGTCTGGTTGAATCTGTGCAAACCTCCACCAGCGGCGATGCAGGGCTTTGCCATACTGGGTGGCCGAGGACACGCCGTCTCATCACACATGGTGTGCACATACTGACTTTTACTGCACCCCGTACAGATGTACAAATACCGAGTCTCCACAAATATGTTACTGTGACTGTCACTTTCCTCAAGTTTCAGAGACCCCACGGGCGGGCTACATTATCTTCCCATCCTGAACTGGGCAGCGGGCATCTTGGGCAGAGCGGGAGGGTGTGAATGATAGATGCCAGGTGTGCCAGGGGAGCAGGTGCAGAGGGGACGTTGGCCCTGGACCCGGCCCTGCTCGGGATGCGTCACAGCCCTGGCTCCCCGGCTTCAGACGTCCTGAGAGATGCACAGCACAGGACAGAACTGGCAGTCGCCATAACGCCCCCTGAGGCATCCTGGGTACAAAGGAGGGAGAGCGAATCTGGAGTAAGGAGGGCGTGGGGAGGAGGACACGAGGAGACGCCCACGGCAGTTGGAAGACGTCACGGAGGTGGATTTGGAAGGTGTCCCCAGCAGGTCAGGCCAGGTGCAGTCCTCAGCTGCCTGAGCTCACAGGCAGGTCTGGGAGAGGGTTAGTGGTTGCCTGGGAATGATCTAGAAAGAGGAGGGTGGGGAAGGGAAGGGGCTTAGCTATGAGGAGGAGCAAGACAGAAAAAGGAAATGCACAGCATGGCAGAGAGGTAGAGGGAGGACGAGGAAGAGCGGAGAGAGGGGCCGGAGACAGAGGAAGGGAACGGACAGAGACCAGAAGGAAACAGTACACAGGAGTGCTGCGGAGAGAGGAGGGGAGCAGAACAGAGTCGGATGGACTGACGGTGGACTGATGACTGGAGAAGAGCTCGGAGGAGAAATAGAGATGGAAGAAACAGGACGGGCCAGGGAGAGGTGGAGTGAGTTGGGGCTATAGGGGGCTGGGCCCAGGCTCCTCCAGCAGCCAGGTGGCAGGGCACTTGAAAACAGGAGCCCCTCCCTGGGCCAACCCTGGTTGTCACCAAAGATGGGAATGTCTAGAAGAGAGGGCTGCCTGGCTTTGCAGGGAGAGAACCGCAGGCTCGCTGCACTGTCCTGTGCACCATTTGCTCCTATGGTACTAGGCGTTCGCTGAGACTCAAACCAGCCCCTGGGGACTGTGTCCCATCAGGATGACCAGGACCTAAAATCCTGAGGTGTGCCCTACTGTCTCCCAGAAACGCTGGCATCAGTGAGTGTCCAAGCCCCGCAGAGCTGGGAGTGTGGGCGACATGGGGAAATGTGCTGCGGGTCCGCTCTGGGCTGTGGGCTGGGCCTGTTGCCAAACGCCATTCATGAGTCGCCTTTTGCTTATCTCCCCCAGCTGGCCACTGAGCCAAGTGGCCTGAGCTGCCCACAGCATCCCAGGTTGCAGCTGGGGCCGGACCAAGGTCTACCCAGGACAGCTAGAGACCCCCACCCCCCACCCCTCCTCTTTACCGGGGATTGAACTCAGGACCTTCCGCTTGCCAGGTAGGTGCTTAGTCTACTGAGCTATCTCTCTGGCCCACGCTCTAGAAGTTTTGAGGAAGTGCATGCAAGTAACCTTTGCCTTGGGAAACTGTTCTAATGGCAATAGTTCTTTTTCATTTTTTAAAAATGAAAATTAGGGCTGGTGAGATGGCTCAGTGGTCTAAGGCACCTACTTAGAACAAACTCAGCAAAGAGCAGGGACTGCGGTTCAATCCCCCAGCACCACATGCCAGCCAGCCCCGCTCCCTGGTGGCTGGTGGGCTGAGCTGCCCCCCCCACACAAATAAATAAATGATTTTTTAAAAATTTTATTTATTTATTTGTGTGTGTGTGTGTGTGTGTGTGTGTGTGTGTGTGTGTGTGTGTGTATATGGCCAGCTCAGCCCACCAGGGGGCGGGCTGGCTGGCATGTGGTGCTGGGGGATTGAACCGTGGTCCCTGTGATTTGCTAAGCTTGTTCTAAGTAGGTGCTTTAGACCACTGAGCCATCTCACCAGCTCTAAATAAATGATTTAAAAAAATAAAAATAAAAATAAATGAAAATTAGCTGTATTTTCCAAAATAAAAAAAAAATTACAAGACAACTAGCATTGTTTTACACTTCTGCAAATCTCTGGACTGTCGCGTTCTCATTCTTGCTTCTGCGTTTTGTCTGCTGCTTTTCCACGTGTCCCAAAGCCTCTGGAAAACTTCACAGTGTAGTGAACCCTCTATGGTCCTTGTACACATCTAAGAAGTTTATATCTGTAATCCCAAAATGTCTTATTGGAATCTCACCAAGTTAATTCCAATCTACCATTCCCAGCACAACTCACGGCGAGAATAAAGACACTAAAACATATTTATAATTATGGGGAGCCTAGGGGCCCTAAGTCCAGCCATGGGGATGGCTTTCTGGAACAAAGAGGCTAACCCAAGGCTGCACCCAGATTTTATTCAGTCATGAAGGAGGAGTGGCTTGAGGAAGAATGACTGAGAACGGCAGGAAGTAGGTGAGGACTGTGAGCTGGGCTAGGTAGGAGGCCTGCATTGACCTCTGTCATATGCAGAGAGGATATGCAGAGAAAGTAATTTGCATTGTACAATTGAGATAGTACCAAATGGTTTGGGGGCTGGTGCTTCAGCTCTGATGTGTAATCTTTCAAGCCCCGGGAAGTCATAGCCTCTATCTCGAGGCTCATCCCAGCCGGCAGCATGGCGCATTGGCTCTTTGTCCTGTCATTGACAGAGTGCATATTAAAGAGCAGCAGGTGTGGGTTATCAGGGAAACATGCGTGCCGTGCCATCTTCAAAGACTCCCACCAGCACCTCAGCTAGACCAATGTGCATTGCTTAAGGCCAATTGCAAGGATAAGGAGAATTCCTAGCCAGCTCTGTACATACCAATACACGGGCATAGGGTCAGGCTCAGCCAGAATGGAGACTATCGCTCTTCTTTCAAGGAGAGCTGCCCAGGTGGCCCTCCACACATGGCATATTCATGACAAGATGAAGATAAAAAAGAAAGTAACTTCTTTGTATTATCTTGAAAGTGGTTATGTTCTCTAAGACCCCCAAGATGGAAGCTCTGGACTCTAGACTTTGAGAAGCACTGGTGAATAGACCTCAACTAGCTGGTGTGTGTAAGTAAGTGTGTGTGTGTGTGTGTGTGCGCACGCGTGCAGTGACGAGCTACATGTTACAGTCAGGGCTTACATAACATATTTTATGATATTCACCCCAAGTCAAATACAGAAGACTGTGGGAGATCTGACAATGCCCCAGCAACCCAAAGAATCCAGCTGAGGGCCTGGATCCCACAGCAGTGTCCCACACGAGGCCTAGAGCCCATGACAACGTCTCACGCAAGTCTGTCCCAAGGATCCGCGCCAGGAAGGCCCAAAGGGGTGGAAGCTAGAAAGTCTGCGCCAGCGGGATGGAGGATCTGAGCCAGCAGGCTGAAGGGTCTGCACTGGAGCCAGGAAGGGATGATACTCCAGGTTAGGACCAGAGCTCACCTGGAAGGTACCACGGCCGGCCTCAGGAGCAGTGAGGGTCCAAGCTCCTCCAAAGGTCAGAACAGCTGAGTTCGTATCAGGAAAGCCATGGTGACAAGCTGCTTCAGGAGGACCTGCGGCACCACCTCCCCTCCTGTTCTCCCTTTGTGCTGTTGGCAACGGTCCCCAGGCGGGGCCTCCGCACCCAGCGCCACGCTGACTCAGCCCAGCTAGGTGTCACAAGTTCACCATTAGTTCATCCACCACACTACAGTAGACGGGATACATCGGAGTACACTGTACTCGGTAAGGGTAAATATTGTGATGGGATAACTCTTGTGGCCACTTCAGCCCTTCCGGGCCGCCTCCCTGAAGTTGGAGAAGCGATGGCAGCAGTTCTGCGGGCGCATCAGTTTGGGTAAACCTGGTAGGGACAAAGTAACAAGAGAGCCGGATTCTCCAGGGCTGCCTCCAGAGGTTTATGTCTTTGTCACGCCACTTGTCCTCAGCAGGCTGCTGGCTTTGCCTGCACTGGGAACATCGGCAGTCCTGCGGCAGAGAGGAGGGGCAGGAGCCAAGGCTGGCCCAGATCCCTCCTGCTGGACGGTGACGCCCCTCCCCCGCCCTGTCACTAGTCAAGGAAAGACCCAACTGCCGCCTGGCCAGACTGGTAGGGAAGAAGAAGCCTGCCTCCAAGAAGGACAACCGACACTGTGAGTGTGAAAACACACAGGCTTCCAGCCACTAGGAAGCTCTTTCTGTCTTCCTCCCGCAGTTCTAGGGACCAACCTCAGGGCCTCACACGCCTGAGGCAAATGCTGCACCCTGGAGCTGTATCCCCAGCCCCTTTATATTGGCCTCAAATTCGCCCTCTCTTCTCCTGAGTACCTGAGAAGACAGAGTCGCCCTGTACTGCTGCAGGATTGGCGAGACGGGAGAGCCCCAGTGGGAAACGGGGGTTTGACCTTTAGATGCACACCGGCTCAGGCGATAAATCCAAAACAGCTGAGCAAAGGACAAAGGGCAGGTGCCAGCTTTTATCTGTTTTGTCAAGGGGGTTGGGCTCTGGCGTGGGGTTTAAGGGCAGGCAGGGGAACAGAGACAGCTTGTCAAGCTGTGACAGCGTTGTGTCTTGGTGACCCTACTCGGACATAACAAGATGCTGGGGAACAAGGGATTATAACATTTCATTGACAGAGACAAAAGTTACTGCTCCAGTTAGTATCTGGCTTTCTCGGGAGCCTTTTGATCTGTTATTCAGCATCCTGGGAAACTGAGGCAGGAGGATTGCTAGTTCAAGCTTAACCTGCTAACTTAGTGACCTAGCAAGGTGCTGTGTCAAAATAAAAAATGGGCAGCTGGGGATGTAGCTCAGTGGCACAGCACCTGCCTGGCAAGCGCCAGGTACTGAGTTCAATATCTGGTACCAAAAAATGGGGAGATGTTGGTGATATAGCTCAGGCAAAACCTCTGAGTTGAGTCTCCTGTGAACTGGGGGGGTGGGGGGGGCCACCCTTTTGGATTTAGCTTCGCTTTGTGTTTCAATGATGTATCTTCACCATTGGAAGCCCGGAAGGTATAAGAAAGAATGGAAAATAAGTATTTCTGGAGGGGTCACTTGGAAGTAGTGTCTCTTGAACCTTAATACATATGTATATGTGGGTCTATCAGAAGCAAAATTCGGGAT